GAGAGAGAGACAGAGAGCTAGAGAGAAGGATACAGAGGTAGCCCTACCCACTAGAAATGAATCTGGATGGAGAAATCTCAGCAGAAAATCTTCATTTTTAGTCAGTGAGGCAATATTTCACAGCTCAAGTTCAGTTGCCACCTCACGGTAGGTCTGGGTTTGTGCCTTTCCCACTAGAAATGAATCTGGAGGGAGAAGTCTCAGAAGAAAGTCTTCATTTTTAGTCAGTTAGGCAATATTTCAAACTGTGTATTTTATTTTAATATACAATGGAATGGTTGTTATTTTCAAAGATTGTTAAGTTTTATGTCTCTCAGTTTTAATTTATAATAAGGGAAATATCAATAACCCACACAAACAAAAGCTCTTTGCAGTCATCAGCAATTTTCTGAAATTGATTCATTTCTTCCATGAGAGAGGGCAACAGACAGGTACTTCAAACCAAGTGCTCACACCATAATTCACCCTCAGTCAGAGACAGCCCAGATCCTGTGTAAAGAAAAACCTGGGATATGAACCAGAGATGTTCCTATATGGAGCCAACAGCATAACCACTGCCTGATCTCATTATTAATTTTTAAATATGTAAAGGAGTCCTGCTACCCACAAAGTTAGAGAACTGCCATTTTAAAGGGGAAAAAAATTTTTTGTGTGTGATTTTCTGAATTTTAAATGGAAAAATGCTTCCTCTAAACAAACAGGCCAAAATTCAAATATATATGCATTTATTTGTGCAGCAGGGAGGCTGCATATCTTAATGGCCACACCTTTTCTAACAGTTTTCAATTGCTTCTTGATTGCTCACATTCAGATAGCTGTTGATAGTTCGGATCCCTCTTTTTCAAGGCATCTAACCACTCTGGCACCAGTCATCATCAATGACATCTGTCACTGGTGAAAACCTATATACCACAATGACAGTATTGATGTTTAACAAAAACAAATTCCATCCAGGATGGAAATTCCTCGGGCCATCAGATACAGGGTACTGGCTCCAATAATTTCATTTTTGTTTTGTTTATTTTAAGTAGATGAGAAACTGGAGTTATAAAACTTCATATAAGAAAACATTTTAGGGGTCAGCAGGTGGTGTAGTGGTTACGGTGCTAGGCTCCAACAGGGCCGACCATGATTCAAGTCCCAAATCAGGTGACTTGAAATTAACGCTGGGCATGTGTGCATGCATGCCCTAAATCCCAGAAGAATGGAGGAGAAGGGACTGCAGTATAGCCATCCGCCCTGTGGGATGATTTCTCACTTTCCCTCTCACTGTCTCTGTCTTTCTCCAGCAAGTACATGCACCCGATGGCAAAAATCTTAAGAGAAAAAAAAAAAAGAGAACATTTTAAAGTCACATAGTATAATCCCCTACCCAGTGTTGAAACCATTCTATTACAGAATTTTGCTTGAAATTTTGCTGTGGCATATAACTCACTTTTTATTGTTACATAGCCTTTTACATTTGAAAGTGCCCCTACTAGATAGTTTTTTCTAATAAAATGAAAACACCCTCTCCATAGATTATATATTCTCATTTTAACCTGTAGACTAGGAGGAATTAGCAAACATTTCCTGTAAATAGGTCAGAAAGCAAACATTTTAGGTTTTATTGGTTACATATAATAAAACTGAGCCAGCCAGTGGTGTGGTGATTAAGATGGCTGGTTCCCACATGACTGACTGCACGGTTTGAGTCCTAGACTTGGTAGCTAGAAAACGTGCCAGGTTTGTGTGTATGTATGACCAAAATTCCAAGAGTAGACTGGAGACGGACTGAGGCGTAGTCATCCCTGTTGGGGAGGCTTTCTCACTTTCCCTCTCCATCTCTCTCTCTCTTCCCCAATCTCCACTCCCATGAGAATGCACACACCCTCTAGCAAAAACTTTTTTAAAAAATGAAAACATCATTCTTAGCTCATTAACAGTACAAAAATCCAGCCCCAGCCTGTGGATTATAGTTTGCAGACACTTGCTCTAAACCATTATAATACTCATCCCATAATACTGTTATTTTCTGTTCACTAGATTGTCTTCCCAGAAAATGAAACAGCTTTCATATAGATATCCCTATACTCAAACACACAGTAGGTACTTAGATATTTGTTACATAAATTAATAAAGAAACAAAAAATAGGCTGCTTCCTCTTTAGCATGACAGTCCTTCAAATATTTAATCACTACAAAGTCTTCTCTTTCATCTACTAACACACTCATCTCCTCACACAAAGATTAACTATAGTTTTGTCAACAGTGGCTTTTGGTTGTTATTTTGTTTTTGAAGGTTTTTGCCATAGGATGCATGCATTCCCTGGAGAGAGATAATAAGAGGGAAAGTGATAAATCACCCCTGAGAGGGGATGGCCATGCCACAATCTCTTCTCCTCAATTCTCCTCCTGCAATTTTGGGCATACATGCACATGTGCATGGTGTAAGCTGCCAGGTCCAGGATTCAAACCATGGTCAGCCATGTGGGAGTCCAGTGCCTTAAGCACTATACCACTTGCTGGTCCCATCAGCACTATTCTTAAACTATGGACCTAAAAATGATTGGATAAGCCATATCAAAGAATACATTGGCACTAATATCCTGATTCGGGTAGCATTAGCTTATCTTTGAAAAGAACTTGCTGAAATAAAGCATACTCATGTTTCTCTACAAAACTCCATGAAACCATTTTCATGGCCCAGCCAAGTAGGAGGGTGCTGCCCAATCTAAACAGGCCAGCAACCAGATATGAGCCTGTCATCCTAGCTAGCTAGGAGGCTCGAGTGAAAGAATTATGACATGATGAGGCCCTGTCAAAAATATCTACTCTCCCTCACCTTTCTAACCCCTTCTCTTTATTTCTCTCGCTCTATGCCTTCCTCCGGAACTGCCTCCCTCCTGCACTCTCTCTTATAAAATAAAAAACAAACTATCTTCGTAATTGCAATGCTTGGTGGTTTGAAAGCTACTTAATCTTTTGTAAAGAGCTAATCAGTTCTTTATCAAACAGGAAAGTAGTAAGACCTCCCTCAGTCATATCACTCAACCGCTTTATCTCAAATTTCTGGCCTGAAAACTGAGAATAATAACTTATGCCTTAATTAATTCTAAGAATCAAATGAGGTAAATATAAACATTTGTCTTTGTTTCTGTTACAGGGAACATGGAGTCTCTTTTGTTTTGAGAACCGGTCAAAGGATCATAAATGGTTTACCCAAAGAACAACTCCTCAAAATCAGGACTGAGGAGGCACACCCTATTAGAAAGAAAATTGTCACCTTTCTGAAATAAGCAAAAATATGAGATAAAATGAGGCAATTGCACATTTAACACAAGGAATCTTCAAAAAGTTCATGGAAAATGTGCACTAAAAATGAATTACATACAGATTTTAAATTTTTCACACCAAAATAAACTTGTACTTTATTTAATTCCATTTTTTCCACAAACTTTATGAAGTCTCAAATAACTAGACAATTGGCCAGTGTTGAAAACCAGAAATAAGCTAAACCCTTTGAGCTAATCCCTTTGAGTATGGCTCTACAGAGTTACAACTCAAAACAGATTTAGTTCCAGGACTTGCAGTCCCCCACAAAACTATATATACATGAGGTATTTCCACTATTTAAAAAGAGACACTACCGGGACTAGCAGTTACCATAATGGCTATATCGCTGGACTCCCATGTAGTTAACTGCCGTTCAAGTCCCAGACCCGGTGGCTTAAACTCACGCCGGGTGCATGTATGTGAGTGCCCAAGATCCCGAGAGGAGAATGGAGAAGGGACTGTGGCGTGGCTACCACCCCGGGGGGTGATTTCTTGCTTTCTTTCTCTCTCTCTCTCTGTCTTTCTGGCAAGT